TAATTACAGCTACCATCATCAACCACTATTAATTATAACATCACCTAAATTACAATTCCATCAACATCACCACACCAGCTACAGCCGCCATCAACATCGCCACAAAAATTAGTTACCATCCCCATCAACACCACCACCTAAACTACAGGCACTATCAGCGTCACCTAATCTACAACCGCCATCACCACCACCACAGCAGCTACAGCCGCCATCACCACTCAGGTACAACGTCAGGCGGGTTGGTGATAGAAAATATTCTCAGCTCACTTTCTCTGGTCACGTGACCTACTTTAGGAACCTGTTGCCTCAGATCAGTAACTCTGTTATCTTTAGGAGGAGGGGGGTGACATTCTGTAGCTGTAGCCAGCCTCTGCTCACCCCGGGAATGTGAGGTCAGTTGGTTTGTTTATCCTGACGTGTTGATGTTGGATGTTTCTTTGGTACATCACTGCCCCCCCCCCCCAGGGCATTCTCTCCCCCTCCCCTGGCATCTTCCTCTCTAAAAGTCTCTATGTGATTACTCACATTACTTTTGGGTTTAACATTTTTTAAAATAATTATTGATCCTCTAAAAAAAACTATTTATCATCTTTAGACACAATTACTTCCATCTTAGCGACTGTTACATTTAAATTAAAGCTACTAGTGGCGAGAGCACAGGACCCCCCCCCCCCCCCCACACCACCCCCAGACTGGTGATTTATTATCCTGTAACCCCCACCGCCCCTAGCATGTACAGTAGACTAAATAAATCTTTGAACAGAACTAACCCTGAGACCGTGTGCCACCAGCTTCCATCACAAATTCTATTTTATTTTACTTTGTCTGGAGCGTATCTCAAGGCTCTAGAGCAGGGGTCTCCAAACTACGGCCCGCGGGCCGGATACGGCCCGCGAAGTCCTCTCATCCGGCCCGCGGAGATCTTTTTTTCCAAGGAAAAATAGTTTGTTGCTGATGGCTGAGGAACTTTGCCCAGAAAAATCAAAGACATTCCTGGAAGAAACTGGCCCCCGAACTGAAATTTAATAGTTAATGCGGCCCTCGGACTGAAAAGTTTGGAGACCCCTGCTCTAGAGTCTAAACCAGGCCTAAGTCGTGTGACCCTTGTACGGGCATTTGTTTTAACTAAACAATATTTCTTTACACTAAACAGTATAGGTGTATGTTCTAAAAATCTAAAAAATGACTGACCACGTATTGTCTATTTCGTCCCTTTTAAATCATGCTTTACTTAGAGCTTCATCTTAAGTGCCATTTTCTATTGTGTACTTTTTCCCTTTTCCAAGACTCAGCTGATGTATTCCAGATACTGTGAAACCATAATCCCCCCCCCCCCACCACTTTTATGTCGCTATAAATTGTTTGAGTATCTCTAATGTTCGATAATAGGCTCTTCCAAACATGGGTGTGTTCGGTTGGTGGTCGTTGTATAACATCAGCAATCACACACAAACATCTTATGATGCTTGAAAACATTTTAAATTTTAAGTTCACTTGCCATTGTCAAGTGGATCAGCCAATCAAATCAACTTGAGGCCGCTTTCAAATTTTTGCCGCACTAAACTTCAAAGCCGTTTGTAGTTATATCTGGATGTTAAAGTTAAACAACAATCTGTTTTTCTATGGATTTTAAAGTCAGACGATCTGTTGTATGGATGATCTGGTAAAGATGGACGACAAAGTCTGTAGTTCTGGGGATGTTCTGGTAAAGATGGACGACAAAGTCTGTAGTTCTGGGGATGATCTGGTAAAGTCAGGCGAATAATTAGCAAAACTTCCCGCTGCCAGACAGTGTTCCCCAGCTGAACTGTCAGGTTAATGAATCGAAGAGCTGACGTCTGCGGGAGACAGATGGCTGAAACGCTCCGTGGCGCCGTCAAGAGTTATTGGTCATGGGGCAGAGTTACCGTTCCTTGATTGGGTAATGGGAAAACCATTTTATCGCCAGCACTGCCTGATGCTTGCCGTCAGAACTGTGGGAATACCAGCTCCCTCACGCTGTGGGGATACCAGCTCACACACACGCTGTGGGGATACCAGCTCCCTCACACTCTGTGGGGATACCAGCTCCCTCACACGTTGTGGGGATACCAGCTCCATCACACGCTGTGGGGATACCAGCTCCCTCACACTCTGTGGGGATACCAGCTCACACACACGTTGTGGGGATACCAGCTCCCTCACACGATGTGGGGATACCAGCTCCCTCACACGATGTGGGGATACCAGCTCACACACACACGCTGTGGGGATACCAGCTCCCCCACACGCTGTGGGGATGTGTTACAGGCCTAGTGTTGAGTTCACCCGTTAAACAAGATGTCAGTGTGGACCTGCTAACCCGTTAAATAAAGTCTATCATTAGCTTTGTATATCAACTGCTAGAATATTTTAAACATATTGGTGGTGCTAGGAATACCTAACGTCAGGTACATCTTTATTATGAGAATATGAGATTATCTATCACTGGTAGTCGGAGATTGAGTGCTACTCAGAAGTCACGTGCTACTCAGAGGTCACGTGCTACTCAGAGATTACTTGCTAGTCAGCGGCTACCTGCCCGCCACAAACAGCACCAAATGAGAATACCTGTCCGCCAGTCAGCCAGTTTAGAGCACCCGTAGCTACCTGTTCTGTGATGATGCCTGCCACATTTCTTGTAAATATAGCGTCAGAAACAAGGCCATTAAACACATTACGTTTCTATTTTTAAACCACGATCTATAGACCAGCTTCTATTTGTGAGCGAGGTGGTGCAACGCAGGGTGTGTCTTCTATTGATGTAGCCTCCCCTCTATAGACCCCCCTCCCCTCTATAGACCGCCCTCCCCTCTATAGACCCCCTTCTATAGACCCCCTGATGTAGCACCCCCTCTATAGACCCCCCCCCCCTCCCCTGGTGTAGCCTCTGACATCGACCCCCTAAATTAGCCCCCCCCTCCCCTGGTGTAGCCTCTGACATCGACCCCCTAAATTAGCCACCCCCCTCCCCTGGTGTAGCCTTTAACATCTACCCCTAAATTAGCCCCCCCCCCCCTGCAAGTTTTTCCACCCATCCGACATCTGTCTAGCATAAGTACGTGGCATCCGACATCTGGCTGACAAATCTGTGTTGTATCACGACACGTTGATCACGTGCTGCATCTGCTGTCTGTCAAACCAAAGTCAATCGCTGTCTGATACATCCTGACTGTCTTTGATACATCCTGACTGTCTTTGTCTCTGATACATCCTTACTGTCTTTGTCTCTGATACATCGTTACTGTCTTTGTCTCTGATACATCCTTACTGTCTTTGTCTCTGATACATCCTTACTGTCTTTGTCTCTGATACATCCTGACTGTCTTTGTCTCTGATACATCCTCGCTGTCGGTAAAAAGAGCCAACCCTTTGAGAATGTTATGAGATATACTCTCCCAAATTGTTTTCAAACCCGAACCCAGATTTTGACCAGCCAACGACTGCAATCTAAATTAATTTTGTTTTATTTGGCCTGTAATTTAATCAACTCCCGATGCCCAAACTGGGTGATTCTAGACAAACAGCCGGCAGCTAAACACGGGCGGCCTGGATGTCTTCTGAGTTGCCAGTTGTTGTTTTTTTTGGCGATAGCTGTCAAGACAGAGCTCAACAGGACCTTTATTTGACGTTTCTTTATTTATTTTATTTCATTTCTCCCACTAAATCTCAGTAGACTACCGTAAGAAATGGTTTCTTCCTTTAAAAAAAAATTAAATAAAAAAAATAATCCATCCAGTCCAAGTTTCTCTAACGTCTCTCTATTGATCTATAATGGCGTGCTATTTTAGTTCTGGGGTTGAATAGATAGCTGCACTCTAGCCGCGAGAAAAATTTGCCACTTTCTTCCTCACACCGGCACCCACCCCAGGTCACACCCCACCCCCCACCTCCACACCCCCAAGCGAAGACGATATTGATTTGACCAAGTTCTCACATTTGCCGCGTCAGCACGTCTTCCCCCCCCCCCCCCCCCCGAAACAAACCACACATCAAACAAGACACGATAATCATCCATATACGACCGTTTGGCCGTAGATTTCTGTATTACCTGGCATGAAATCACGGCCAATTATCTTGTCGTTATTGCCAGGATGGCAGTGTAATAAATAAATGATGTCTAGAACACATGACACCGCAGAAACCTCAGCTCTAAAATAGACAAAATTGTTGCGCTATTTAAAGAATATATTTACAACATGGCGTCACAGATTCATCCTTTAATGTAGATCTATAACCAGGATGGTTTTTTAAACTTTATGTTTGCCGGATTGATTGGGCTAAGTTATACGCCTTGCTTTCTTTGATGCAGATGCTGGTTGGGGGGGGGGGGGGGGGGGTTGTCGTGGAAAAGGGGGGGGGGCTATTTTCTATGTCGAACCTTTTGTGAAAAGGCATGTGTAAACAATTATATTACCTTCCCCCCCCCCCTCCCCCCGTCGGCCAACCCGATCTATATTTTACATAAGTCATTTTACACACGCCATGTACACAAACCCATCATGTACACATATTCTCCCCTCCCCATCCCCATGCCACCCCCACCCCCTACTCCACCAAGAAATCCCATTCTTCCCCCCCCCCCCCCCCCCGATACAACAGGACCAAGACAGATATGTCATAAAAATAAAACGCCGAAACGTCACAAAAACATAAACAGCTCAATTATTCTAGCCCTAAGCTGTGGTGGATCTGTCTGCTGTGTTGGGTCTTTAGTGGATCTGCCACTGAGGTTTTGAGGGATTTGGGGATTTTATTTTGTTCTACACTTAAAGCAGGTCAACGGGTTAGGCTGGACTTTTGAATTTCTAATGACGTAACCACGTGAAAAACCATATTTTAAAACTGACCAGTGACCAGACGTTTAACCCATCCAATGACCAGACCTAACGAAGTGACTGGCCACACATTAAAACTGACGACCGACCAGATGTTTAACCCAACCAATGACCACGTGACTGACCAGGTGTCGTCTATTTCAGGTAAACATGTGAGCCATGAGCCAAAGTCTGGGTCTGGTGGGGCCAGCAGTGGGAGCCGCGCCAGTGAACAGAGTGACATCATTCGCCAACTAGGCGAGGGCTCGGAGATTCGCCAGTACTTGGCGCCTGATGTAAGTCTAGTGGTGTAGCGGGTAGCCTGGTCTGGTGGTGTAGCGGGTAGCCTGGTCTGGTGGTGTAGCGGGTAGCCTGGTCTGGTGGTGTAGCGGGTAGCCTGGTCTAGTGGTGTAGCGGGTAGCCTGGTCTGGTGGTGTAGCGGGTAGCCTGGTCTGGTGGTGTAGCGGGTAGCCTGGTCTGGTGGTGTAGCGGGTAGCCTGGTCTGGTGATGTAGCGGGTAGCCTGGTCTGGTGGTGTAGCGGGTAGCCTGGTCTGGTGGTGTAGCGGGTAGCCTGGTCTGGTGGTGTAGCGGGTAGCCTGGTCTGGTGGTGTAGCGGGTAGCCTGGTCTGGTGGTGTAGCGGGTAGCCTGGTCTAGTGGTGTAGCGGGTAGCCTGGTCTGGTGGTGTAGCGGGTAGCCTGGTCTGGTGGCGTAGCCTGGTCTAGTGGTGTAGCGGGTAGCCTGGTCTGGTGGTGTAGCCTGGTCTAGTGGTGTAGCGGGTAGCCTGGTCTGGTGGTGTAGCGGGTAGCCTGGTCTAGTGGTGTAGCGGGTAGCCTGGTCTAGTGGTGTAGCCTGGTCTAGTGGTGTAGCCTGGTCTAGTGGTGTAGCGGGTAGCCTGGTCTAGTGGTGTAGCGGGTAGCCTGGTCTAGCGGTGTAGCGGGTAGCCTGGTCTAGTGGTGTAGCGGGTAGCCTGGTCTAGCGGGTGATGTAGACAGGTTTTGGTATGTGATGTAGCCATGTTTTTGTATGTAAACTTATCTGTAGCCAGGTTCCTAAAGATTTTCCTCCAACCTTCAAAGCCGGCCCTCAAGATGTCATTTACAGCGTTAAGTTGATTGGTCTAATCCATCAAGTTTTTCTAAAAGTTGATTTACTCGTTAATACATCAACAAGGAAGCAAACGTTATATCAACGCTGTAAATATAGATTTGGAATTTTCTGTAAATGGAAAAATAATTTGCGCTGTAATTCCCCGTGGAAATTTAGTTTTTGTTCAAATCAATGGCGAGCGAGATGTTTTAAGTAGCAGGCTTGGTCTGTAAAAACCAAAAGGGAGGGGGGGGGGGGGATGCGCTGAGTTGTGAAATCTGAGCTCATTTACTTCGAAATATTAATTAGTTAATTAGTCGTAATGATAGTGATCTAGATTCTATGTGAAATTCCCGCGATACTCTCACATCCAAAGGGCGTATTTGGTGGCTGCTGATCTTTTTAAACTACACACTACATTTACACGTGGAACACATTAAGCTTGCACACAGTAGTTTTAATTTTCTATAACTAAAGAGTTTCAGAACTTTCAAAATTGGACACGAAGCGATGTTGACTTTTTGTGGTTTGTAAGTCTGTTTTGTGGTTGTCACGTATTTGATCGTTTGTTAATGACGTAGTACACACATACTTCTAGGCCTGATAGAAATCATAGACTGGCAGAAGTATGTAAAATGTAAACTATCTAAAGCCTAGATCTAAAACTTAACTACGCATGCGGAAATATTTAGATATATCTAAATGAAAGTAGACATTCAGAAAAAAAACACAAACATACACAAATACACGACTATAGACATACACAAATACCACGACAGCAAATATACAGACATACACGACAGCAAACATACAGATATACACGACAGCAAACACAGATATACACGACAACAAACATACAGACATACACGACTACAATGATACAGCTCACCACTGATTGGCCGGTCCTAAAGTTAACAAAAAAAATGGCGGACCTTCTCTTGATCAGATCTTGTAAGCCTGCCACCAACACAAAACATGACAGTTATTGATTCAGCCATTGAGATTGTTACCCCCCCCCCCCTCATCTCTTGTCCAGCTATCTGATGATGACGGTGGAGGTAGCGATGACAGCATAGACACGATGACAGAAACAGAGTCGCAGATGTCATTTGCCAGACAAGTGGGGGCCACGAGAAAGGCGGGGTGGGTAAACATCACAGGGTTGTTTTTTTTCTATCAGATTTGGTAGTTGGAAAAAATATTTTTAAATTAATCTTTTTAAAGTGGTTTTATTTTCTGTAATTTTTTATTACAAAAAAAAATTAAATTTTAAAATTAAATTATTCAAAATTATATTTCACGTAGATGTTATCTATAGGGCCTAATTTTATCACTTCCACGTAAAACCCTATGCACGCTGTATGTTTTAGCTGGCTTGTTGTAAAAAACTGGCTGCTGCATAAGAAGAAGAAAATTGAACTGGCCCCTAGACGGGCGTGGAAGCGGTACTGGGTGTGTCTCAAGGGGACGACACTCTTGTTTTTCGACTGTGACGAGGAGAGTTCTGTCACTGAAAATATCATTCCCAGGCACATCCTTGGTACGTGTTTTATTTTACATGTAATTGCTAATTAAGTGTGTATATTTCACATTGTGAGGTTTTATTTAAATTAACACATAATTATGAATTAATTGAATACATTTTACACTAATGAATTTTAAAAAACCCTGAATAGTTTTTAAACATTTTTATAATATTGTATATCTAACTTCTGATGCTTTAAATATCTTACTTCTGATGTTGTGTATCTAACGCTGTGTATCTAATGCTGTGTATCTAACATCTAATACTCTCCACTCCAGTGATTGAAGGAGGTATCGCCCAGGCTGTACCAGAGCATCCAAAGAGAGACAACATCTTCTCACTCAGTACTGCATGTGGGGACGCCTACCTTTTCCAGGTAAATCATAGCTCGTACAGGTAAATCATAGCTCGTACAGGTAAAATTTTGAGCTCTTTCAGGTAAAATTTTGAGCTCTTTCATGTAAATTTTTTAGCTCTTCCAGGTAAAATTTTTAGCTCTTCCTGGTAAAATTTTAAGCTCTTCCATGTAAAATTTTTAGCTCTTTCAGGTAAATAGTTCTTTAACTCTCTCTCTCTCTCTCTCTCTCTCTCTCTCTCTCTCTCTCTCTCTCTCTCTGTCTTGTTTTCATAAAGAAAAATAAATAAAAGAAACTGAATGAGACTGCTTTATCTCTATCAGCTAGTCTCTATGTTTTTAAAACTGTTTCAAAATCTTGCCATAGACCTACAGTATCAATATTTTTCTTTCCAAGAATTCAGATATCTGAGAGAACAGGGGATACCACTACAATATTCAAATGTTTACCTCCCTTACATTTATCTTGGGTAAACAACCTAAGTCAGGGAACTCAAAGAATAAAATTTTAAATTAGAGTTGCTGATTAGCTACACGCCAACCATTAATAGGCTGATGAAAAACTGATAAAAGATATTTTTAAAGCCAACAGTTTAAACCTGCGTTACACCACAAAACGAAGATTTATTAAATGTCAATATTAGCTCAGGAGGTTTTAGTCTAGTCAGCTGTTCTCTCAGCTGTTGGCTGACTAAAGCCTTCACATGTATGAAATCTGTCAGTTTTCTTAAGCTAGGGCCAGCACTAAACTATCCTTGTCTAACTTTAACTTGCTATTTAATTAAATTGACCTAGCCTATAACTAACCCTATCCATATTATCCAGGCCTCATCACAAATTGACCTAGCCTTTAACTAACCCTAACCTTATTATCCAGGCCTCATCACAAATTGACCTTGAGAACTGGATCCGGGCCATCCACTCAGCGTGTGCATCATCCTACGCCCGGCAACACGGCAAGGACAACACACTCAAGCTGCTGTGTTCTGAGCTGACCAAGTTGGACTCCAGCATTGATATGGTCAGTCTAGTGTTGACATCAACTTTTGATATGGTCAGTCTAGTGTTGACATCAACTTTTGATATGGTCAGTCTAGTGTTGACATCAACTTTTGATATGGTCAGTCTAGTGTTGACATCAACTTTTGATATGGTCAGTCTAGTGTTGACATCAACTTTTGATATGGTCAGTCTAGTGTTGACATCAACTTTTGATATGGTCAGTCTAGTGTTGACATCAACTTTTGATATGGTCAGTCTAGTGTTGACATCAACTTTTGATATGGTCAGTCTAGTGTTGACATCAACTTGTAGAAACAACTGTAAAATTATCATGATCCCAGGTTTTAACAAACCACTTGAGCCACACACTCCACCACCCCATACCACTCATAAGACGTTTTAGTTTAAGGATTATAGTTTTCTTCTTGAACCTTAAACCTAAGTTTGAATCAAAGTTTTACTTAAGCTCTTTGAAAAATATTTTTTTTTAAATGTACTATGAACCTGTGTGCATGTTTCCCCGCCCCCCTATCTGCAGAGTCCTAACTAAAACTCCCCTTACTCCCCAGGATGTGAAGATGCGCAAGATGGCTGAGCTGCAGATGACCGTGGTCACTGACCCCAAAAGTCGCCAGGCCATCCTCAAGCAGATCGCCCAGTGGGAGGAGAACCTGGAGAAGCTGTACATTGACCAGTACAGGTTCCGCTGCTACTCCGCTTCATTGCAGGGCTCAGAGCTGCCCAACCCCAAGGTAACACTGAACCCTAACCCAACCCTAAGGTAACACTGAACCCTAACCCAACCCCAAGGTAACACTGAACCCTAACCCAACCCTAAGGTAACACTGAACCCTAACCCAACCCCAAGGTAACACTGAACCCTAACCCAACCCCAAGGTAACACTGAACCCTAACCCAACCCTAAGGTAACACTGAACCCTAACCCAACCCCAAGGTAACACTGAACCCTAACCCAACCCCAAGGTAACACTGAACCCTAACCAAATCCTAAGGTACAGCTGAACTTTTAGCCCAAGGTAACACTGAACCTTAACCCAACCCTAAGGTACAGCTGAACCCTAACCCAACCCTAAGGTAACAATGAACCATAAACCAACCCTAAGGTAACACTGAACCATAAACCAACCCTAAGGTAACACTGAACCCTAACCCAACCCTAAGGTAACACTGAACCCTAACCCAACCCTAAGGTAATACTGAACCCTAACCCAACCCTAAGGTAACACTGAACTTTTAGCCCAATCCTAAGGTAACACTGAACCCTAACACAACCCTAAGGTAACACTGAACTTTTAGCCCAATCCTAAGGTAACACTGAACCCTAACCCAACCCTAAGGTAACACTGAACCATAAACCAACCCTAAGGTAATACTAAACCCTAACCCAGCCCTAAGGTAACACTGAACCCTAACCCAACCCTAAGGTAACACTGAACCCCAACCCTAAGGTAACACTGAACCCCAACCCTAAGGTAACACTGAACCCCAACCCTAAGGTAACACTGAACCCTAACCCAACCCTAAGGTAACACTGAACCCTAACCCAACCCTAAGGTAATACTGAACTTTAACCCAACCCTAAGGTTCAGCTGAACTTTTAGCCCAACCCTAAGGTAACACTGAACCCCAACTCAACCCTAAGGTAACACTGAACCTTAACCCAACCCTAAGGTAACACTGAACCGTAACCCAACCCCAAGGTAACACTGAACCCTAACCCAACCCCAAGGTAACACTGAACCCTAACCAAATCCTAAGGTACAGCTGAACTTTTAGCCCAAGGTAACACTGAACCTTAACCCAACCCTAAGGTACAGCTGAACCCTAACCCAACCCTAAGGTAACAATGAACCATAAACCAACCCTAAGGTAACACTGAACCATAAACCAACCCTAAGGTAACACTGAACCCTAACCCAACCCTAAGGTAACACTGAACCCTAACCCAACCCTAAGGTAATACTGAACCCTAACCCAACCCTAAGGTAACACTGAACTTTTAGCCCAATCCTAAGGTAACACTGAACCCTAACACAACCCTAAGGTAACACTGAACTTTTAGCCCAATCCTAAGGTAACACTGAACCCTAACCCAACCCTAAGGTAACACTGAACCATAAACCAACCCTAAGGTAATACTAAACCCTAACCCAGCCCTAAGGTAACACTGAACCCTAACCCAACCCTAAGGTAACACTGAACCCCAACCCTAAGGTAACACTGAACCCCAACCCTAAGGTAACACTGAACCCCAACCCTAAGGTAACACTGAACCCTAACCCAACCCTAAGGTAACACTGAACCCTAACCCAACCCTAAGGTAATACTGAACTTTAACCCAACCCTAAGGTTCAGCTGAACTTTTAGCCCAACCCTAAGGTAACACTGAACCCCAACTCAACCCTAAGGTAACACTGAACCTTAACCCAACCCTAAGGTAACACTGAACCGTAACCCAACCCTAAGGTAATACTGAACCTTAACCCAACCCTAAGGTTCAGCTGAACTTTTAGCCCAACCCTAAGGTAACACTGAACCCTAACCAAACCTAAGGTTCAGCTGAACTTTTAGCCCAACCCTAAGGTAACACTGAACCCTAACCCAACCCTAAGGTTCAGCTGAACTTTTAGCCCAACCCTAAGGTACAGCTGAACCTTAACCCAACCCTAAGGTACAGCTGAATGTTTAACCAGTTGTTGACCTTTCTTCATGTTGAACTATTCATTGAATTAATATTGTAATCTCATTATACCCACTACAAAACTCAGGACCAACTTATTAAAATGTTTTGTGTCTGCAGGTTCTGTTGGCCTGCGCTTCTAAAGCCTCAAAGACAACCTTGGGTCGTCTGGGCATCTTCACCGTGACATCATTCCATGCCCTGGTCAGTGCCCGCAAGCCCCTGGTCCTGCCCAATATCTACGGCAAGACGAGCCAGAAGGGAGGCATGCTCTCCCCAAGGTCAGAGGGGGTCCAGAAGCCTAGGTCAAGGACGCCCACAGCTTTGGTCAGCTCTAGCACAAGTTCTGAGTGAGTAGCGGCCCTTTGGTCAGCTCTAGCACTAGTTCTGAGTGAGTAGCGGCCCTTTGTGTTGTTTCATTACTTGTGTGGTTTGATGTAGGCTACCTGGATCTGTACTTGGATGTTGAACATCATGATGTTGTGCAATGCTAGAAATTTTGTTTTTATTCTTCTATGCCATATCTGTATCTATTTGCTGTCTTTTTGGCCTTGTTTAAAACTGGCCCCTCATATGTCTGTATGCTACCTTATGTTTGTTGTTTGTCTGTATGCTACCTTATGTTTGTTATTTGTCTGTATGCTACCTTATGTTTGTTGTTTGTCTGTATGCTACCTTATGTTTGTCTGTATGCTACCTTATGTTTGTTTGTATGCTACCTTATGTTTGTTTGTATGCTACCTTATGTTTGTCTGTATGCTACCTTATGTTTGTCTGTATGCTACCTTATGTATGTCTGTATGCTACCTTCTGTATGTCTGTATGCTACCTTCTGTATGTCTGTATGCTACCTTATGTATGTCTGTATGCTACCTTATGTATGTCTGTATGCTACCTTATGTTTGTTTGTATGCTACCTTATGTATGTCTGTATGCTACCTTATGTTTGTCTGTATGCTACCTTATGTTTGTCTGTATGCTACCTTATGTTTGTCTGTATGCTACCTTATGTTTGTCTGTATGCTACCTTATGTTTGTCTGTATGCTACCTTATGTTTGTCTGTATGCTACCTTATGTTTGTCTGTATGCTACCTTATGTTTGTCTGTATGCTACCATATGTCTGTATGCTACCTTATGTATGTCTGTATGCTACCTTATGTCTGACAGGGCCTTGTTTAAAACTGGACAACAGCCCCACTCGGACTCTATGGACAACCTGCTGGAGAGGTCTGGCACTGACACCAGTCCTGGTCAAGAGAGTTTGTCCAAGGTTACGCTGCCCAATAACCAGGTAACTTTTTGCTTGACCCTCGTCACTTCTTTAATTAAGTAGCGTCACTCATCCAACCCCACTCACCTGTTTCATATTAGAGCGTGTTAAAGAGAGACAACTCTGCTATTAACACAACTATTTATGGCTAGTCTTGCCATTTTTCTTGGCCACATATTTTATAAAATTGCTACACATTTGTTTTGATTTGCTTAAAATACTATTCTATATTTATTTTTTTTAAATGTGATTTTGACGAATATTCTTTCGAATCTCTAAAGTTTTGTTATTAGCTGGTTTTGCTTGCTTGTGTTGACCCTTGACCCCTGGTGATGGCTCCTGTAGAAAACCCCATCTCTCATTTCTGTGTCTTTCAGTGTTACAACTTTCAGACCATGCTGATTGGGGTGGACCGCGGCACCAGCGTCCAGGACCTGCTGGAGATGACCTGCAACAAGCGCCAGCTCAACCCCAGGGACCACTACGTCAGGATCAAACCCCTGGGCTCCACCGACAACACCTTCATCATCCCTGACAGGCATGAGAATGTCAAAAAACTGGTGAGGGCTGGGGTCAACTGGTGGGGGTTAGGGTTATCTGGTGAGGGCTGGGTTAACTGGTGAGGGCTGGGTTAACTGGTGAGGGCTGGGTTAACTGGTGAGGGCTGGGTTAACTGGTGAGGGCTGGGTTAACTGGTGAGGGCTGGGTTAACTGGTGAGGGCTGGGTTAACTGGTGAGGGCTGGGTTAACTGGTGGGGGTTTGGGTTAACTGGTGGAGGGCTGGGTTAACTGGTGGGGGTTTGGGTTAACTGGTGAGGGCTGGGTTAACTGGTGAGGGCTGGGTTAACTGGTGAGGGCTGGGTTAACTGGTGGGGGTTTGGGTTAACTGGTGAGGGCTGGGTTAACTGGTGGGGGTTTGGGTTAACTGGTGAGGGCTGGGTTAACTGGTGAGGGCTGGGTTAACTGGTGAGGGCTGGGTTAACTGGTGAGGGCTGGGTCAACTGGAGAGGGACTGGGTTTAATGCTAGGCTTAGGGTCAACTTTAGCATGTTTAAAATTATTTTAAAAACCAAACCATAGTTCATAGGTGTTGTTTCAAGTGACAGAAAAGTCCTGAGATCCAAAATAAGGTTTGGTAGATATTACTGGTAGCTAGCCTAGAACCTGACTTAAGATGGATTAGGGTGACTAGACACAATAATGGCCAGACTACTCTCTTCATGGTCTAGATGCATTTTACTTGAAAATAATTGTTTTTTTTTAGCTTATGCCATGATATGCATCTTATTAGAATTGCAATGTTCCATAATTATGTTCCACCATTGTAAAGTCCCATGCCTGTTCCAGCGCTATGATGCCATCGAGGTGTGCCAGAAGTGCATCTTTCAGATTGAGCTGACCAAACCCACTAAGGACGGAATGTTTGGCTTTGCTGTGGAGGCGGAGCTTGCTGAAGACCTGGACAGAGATGACGAGCTGCGGGTCTATGTCTGTGACGTCACGAAGGACAGTGTGGCGGATAAACGAGGTCAGTCACCTGGACACTTTACACTCACAAACCCCAAACCCTGACATAAGGTAGCTTCAGTCACTCACAAACCCCAAACCCTGCCTTAAAGAAGCTTCAGTCACTCACAAACCCTGACTTAAAGAAGTTAGTCAAGCGGCTGGTCCATTAGTGATGTGGATGTTACTACAGTAGATTTAATTTTTTAAGCTTTTGAAACACAAAGTGCTCATTAATCTGATTCTACCACGAATTGAATAATGCGTGTTTTTGGGTAGGTTATGACTGAACTGTAGCATTGATGCAGAACATGTGCAGAACACTTTGTATTACTTAAATATTTTTCTCATGTTTTGTAACTCTTAGCTGGCATTAAAAAAAACTGTCCTTGTATTGAGTCTATAGCCAGCAGTAAAAAACCTGTCCATGTAATAACTCTATAGCCAGCAGTAAAAAACCTGTCCATGTAGCAACTCTATAGCCAGCAGTAAAAAACCTGCCCATGTAGCAACTCTATAGCCAGCAGTAAAAAACCTGTCCATGTAACAACTCTATAGCCAGCAGTAGAAAACCTGCCCATGTAACAACTCTATAGCCAGCAGTAAAAAACCTGCCCATGTAGCAACTCTATAGCCAGCAGTAAAAAACCTGCCCATGTAGCAACTCTATAGCCAGCAGTAAAAAACCTGCCCATGTAGCAACTCTATAGCCAGCAGTAAAAAACCTGCCCATGTAGCAACTCTATAGCCAGCAGTAAAAAACCTGCCCATGTATCCCAGCAGGTCTGATTGTGGGGGATGAAATCCTTGTGATCAACAGCAAGATTGTGTCAGAGCTAGACATGGTCTACATCGAGACCCTGCTGCACGAGTCGCGCAGCCTGTTCCTGACTGTACGCAGCATGAGGACGCAGCCACCACGTACAGACTTCATACAGAAACACACAGACGCTTACATAAAAAACATGGTTGTTCCCCCTCCCCCCTCTCAGTCCAGGCTGTCTGACAGATCTCTAGGGCATCTCATTGTGCCAGCACCATCTCCTGATAATGGTAAGTAACATTGGTTATTGCCCCTGACTTAGTAACATTGGTTATTGCCCCTGACAGTGGTAATATTGGTTATTGCCCCTGACATGGTAACATTGGTTATTGCCCCTGACAGTGGTAATATTGGTTATTGCCCCTGACAGTGGTAATATTGGTTATAGCCCCTGACATGGTAACATTGGTTATAGCCCCTGACAATTGTAGAAATATTGTTTTGAATATAATATGTTGCAAATTGAAAAAGATTAGAATAGAAATGTATTTTCTGGGGGAAAAAAGTTACACTGTAAGAAGACATTGCCAAATGTTTTGTTTTATAGAAGTTGTTTTAATGTAACAAATTTTTTCTTTAGGAGAAGCAACAAGTACCAGTGTGAAAGATAGAGTGTCTCGCAACACTTCACCTGCACAGATTGAGACATTGTTAGAGGTAAATACAAGCTTTTCATTGGCTAGTTCAGGTCTCTTGCACTGAACACTGTGTAACTTTAATGTAGAGTAGGTGGAGTAGAGTTCACTTCATAGTTTAAAATTTATGATTTATGACTGCACTCAATTCGAAGGACATCTTTATCCAGCTACAGTAATGAAAGATTTATCCAGTTCTTCATGTTGTATAATTGTTTTAGTTTTTTTTTATTGGTTTTCACTGTATTCTCTGATGGCTGCATAAAATCTTGAACCTGTGATTTTATTCCTAGGGGGCTGAGGAGGTGACGGCTATCTGCCGTAAAGACGAGTCCATAATCAACGAAGATGGACACACAGTGGCCAAGCCCTTATCTGATGCCCAGAGGATGAGGAAAGCCATCATGGAGCTGGTCGAGACAGAGAGGGCGTATGTCAAGGTTAGAGGAAGTCTTCATCTGTTTGTGTCACACATGGGGTGCTGTTTAAATTATGTAACTGTTTGCCTGACTAGTTACAAGATTTGTGTTTAAATTATGTCACTGTTTGCCTGACTAGTTACAAGATTTGTGTTTAAATTATGTCACTGTTTGCCTGACTAGTTACAAGATTTGTGTTTAAATTATGTCACTGTTTGCCTGACTAGTTACAAGATTTGTGTTTAAATTATGTCACTGTTTGCCTGACTAGTTACAAGATTTGTGTTTAAATTATGTCACTGTTTGCCTGACTAGTTACAAGATTTGTGTTTAAATTATGTCACTGTTTGCCTGACTAGTTACAAGATTTGTGTTTAAATAATGTCACTGTTTGCCTGACTAGTTACAAGATTTGTGTTTAAATTATCTCACTGTTTGCCTGACTAGTTACAAGATTTGTGTTTAAATTATGTCACTGTTTGCCTGACTAGTTACAAGATTTGTGTTTAAATTATGTCACTGTTTGCCTGACTAGTTACAAGATTTGTGTTTAAATTATGTTACTGTTTGCCTGACTAGTTACAAGATTTGTGTTTAAATAATGCCACTGTTTGCCTGACTAGTAACAAGATTTGTGTTTAAATTATCTCACTGTTTGCCTGACTAGTTACAAGATTTGTGTTTAAATAATGTCACTGTTTGCCTGACTAGTTACAAGATTTGTGTTTAAATAATGTCACTGTTTGCCTGACTAGTTACAAGATTTGTGTTTAAATAATGTCACTGTTTGCCTGACTAGTTGCAAGATTTTTGTTTAAATTATCTCACTGTTTGCCTGACTAGTTACAAGATTACATCAATTTCATCCTAAAATTTCATTCTACATACAAAATTCTTTCAGTCAAGTCTTCATCTTCTTTTCTTCTTCTTCGTTCTTAATTATTAGTGTTGAAGGGGATCGAGATTTATCTTCCAGTGGGTTTGAACTCGAGACTTTGTTCGATTTATCAAAATTTAAACTTTTCTTCCGTGGTTCAGGATTTAAAATGCCTGACCGAGCGCTACCTGGAACCTCTGAAGGAAGAAACTTTCCTGACGTCAGGTGAGATCCAGCAGCTGTTTGGTAACATCCAGGAGATTGTGGCCTTCCAGCAACGCTTCCTGCACAGTCTGGAGGAGGCTGTGGAGTCTGTCCCTGACTTTTTCACCACCAATGATGCTTCTCATTTTAAGGTTGGTCTTGTTTTTTACATTGTCATATTGCAGTTTTATATAGTCATATTAATAAAATATATTTTTAAAATGTACTTAGAATTAGACACATTAATTCCATTTTGCAGGGAGAGTAGATTTCAAAACAAAAGATTGTTTATTCTTGGAGTAGTTTACTGTTAGGGTTAAAGTGGTTTTGGACTAAAGACTTGGTGGAAATCTTATCTGCTATTTTTTTTATTTCAGAGAGTTGTTTTTTCGTTGGGTGGATCATTCCTGTATTACGCCAATCATTTCAAAGTGTACAGTTCATTTTGTGCCAGCCACTCAAGGTCACAGAAAATACTTAACCCAGGTCAGGAGATTTTATCTCTGATGTGTCTAGCATCTTGGTGGTACTGTCTTGAAGTAACATAGATTTTGGCTTACATGGGTGGAGAAACAATTAATTTGAAGCTAAAATAACAACTTGATTAGATTTTTTAGGCTTTTGTTAGAAATTTTTAAATTGTGAAATGATTTGTTCACCAAATGTTGTTAACAAAATAAATTGATAATTTAAATAATTGTGATTGTTGTCCGTCAGATGCCAACGAAGCCTTGCGTGAGTTTCTGCGGGCCAGGAACCCCAAGCAGCAGCACTCAGCCACACTGGAATCCTACCTGATCAAACCCATCCAGCGGATATTGAAGTATCCACTCCTGCTGCAGCAGCTATGTAACATGACGCACATAGAGACGGATGAACATCATCATTTGTCTGGTACATAGAACATCTTATATTCTTACTCATAGTATCAATAATACTAAAATGTTACCACTAAAAAAAATGCTGGATGAGTAATCAATAAAATGGCCCCCTTGATGTTCTGTTGACAGAGGCCCTCAAGGGTATGGAGGCTGTGGCTGAACACATCAATGAGATGCAGAAAATTTATGACGAGTACGGCTCCGTGTTTGATGACCTGTCCAGGTCATATAAGGAGAACAACCCACACAAATCTGTGAGTAGCAAACCCACACAACCCACACAAATCTGTGAGTAGCAAACCCACACAACCCACACAAACCTGTGAGTAGCAAACCCACACCACCCACACAAATCTGTGATTAGCAAACCCACACAACCCACACAAATCTTTGAGTAGAAAACCCACACAACCCACACAAACCTGTGAGTAGAAAACCCACACAAACCTGTGAGTAGCAAACCCACACAACCCACACAAATCTGTGAGTAGCAAACCCACACAACCCACACAAATCTGTGAGTAGCAAACCCACACAACCCACACAAACCTGTGAGTAGAAAACCCACACAAACCTGTGAGTAGCAAACCCACACAACCCACACAAATCTGTGAGTAGCAAACCCACACAACCCACACAAATCTGTGAGTAGAAAACCCACACAACCCACACAAACCTGTGAGTAGCAAACCCACACAACCCACACAAATCTGTGAGTAGCAAACCCACACAACCCACACAAACCTGTGAGTAGCAAACCCACACAACCCACACAAACCTGTGAGTAGCAAACCCACACAAGTCTGTGAGTAGCAAACCCACACCACCCACACAAATCTGTGATTAGCAAACCCACACAACCCACACAAATCTTTGAGTAGAAAACCCACACAACCCACACAAACCTGTGAGTAGCAAACCCACACAAATCTGTGAGTAGCAAACCCACACAACCCACACAAACCTGTGAGTAGCAAACCCACACAACCCACACAAATCTGTGATTAGCAAACCCACACAACCCACACAAATCTTTGAGTAGAAAACCCACACAACCCACACAAACCTGTGAGTAGAAAACCCACACAAACCTGTGAGTAGCAAACCCACACAACCCACACAAATCTGTGAGTAGCAAACCCACACAAACCACATAAATCTGTGAGTAGCAAACCCACACAACCCACACAAATCTGTGAGTAGCAAACCCACACAACCCACACAAACCTGTGAGTAGAAAACCCACACAAACCTGTGAGTAGCAAACCCACACAACCCACACAAACCTGTGAGTAGCAAACCCACACAACCCACACAAATCTGTGAGTAGCAAACCCACACAACCCACACAAATCTGTGAGTAGAAAACCCACACAACCCACACAAATCTGTGAGTAGCAAACCCACACAACCCACACAAACCTGTGAGTAGCAAACACACACAACCCACACAAGTCTGTGAGTAGCAAACCCACACAACCCACACAAGTCTGTGAGTAGCAAACCCACACAACCCACACAAGTCTGTGAGTAGCAAACCCACACAACCCACACAAGTCTGTGAGTAGCAAACCCACACAACCCACACAAGTCTGAGTAGCAAACCCACACAACCCACACAAATCTGTGAGTAGCAAACCCACACAAGTCTGTGAGTAGCAAACCCACACAACCCACATAAACCTGTGAGTAGCAAACCCACACAAGTCTGTGAGTAGCAAACCCACACAACCCACACAAATCTGTGAGTAGCAAACCCACACAACCCACACAAATCTGTGAGTAGAAAACCCACACAACCCACACAAATCTGATAAACAACCTACACATCAATTCACACAAATCTGTATTAGGTATGTACATAACCCGCTAAATTTGACCATCAAACCACACCAGTCTGTGTTGTAGGTCCCTACACAACCACCTAAGTTTGACCATCAGCCCACACAAACCCCTCTCAGTTTTTGTATCTAATGTGAACATCAACACCCACGACCTGGTCAAGGGAAATGTTTAATTTATACTCTTGTTATTTTGTTCTAAACATAATTTGCTTCATGGTTGTGATATGATTCAAGCAAGTAATTTTTCTCTCCAGCCCATTGAGCTGAATGTTGGTGACCTCCAGATGTATGGGACAGTTGAGTGGGTCAACATCGCTGACCACATGGGGAAGGTGAAAAAATCGGCTGAGTTTGAGAATGTTGTCTTTGTCTTCAAGGCTGGAGTTACCTTCCTTTGTAGAGAAAGGTTAAAAAGGAAGAAAACCAAAGTAAGAAATTATTTTTAGGGGAAACTTGTGATATAGTGTTTAGCTGAGTGGTTATGTTTGGCTGATTAGCCTGGGGATACAGTTTGTGATTTACAAAGTTTTGACCATTAGTTTGACCACACCTTTGAACTTACCCCCAGTCCCTGTCAGCGAGGTCATCTCTGATTGAGGTGGCTGAAACTGTGGAGCGCTACCGGACTCTGATCCCCACCCAGGAGGTCCAGATCAGGACAGGGAAGGTCAGTGACATGGACCGGCACTACTGGTGGGACCTGGTCCACTCAAGGTCAGAGCTGGAGGGCCGGCCAGAGAAAGTCTACCAGTTCTGTAACAGGTGGGTTCTTGTTGGGTTCAATACTTTAGTGTCAGTGGTGGCCAGTGGCTCAAGCATGTAGATTCTTTGAATAAATGAAGGCAAAAATTACAATAAATGTGGGGCATGGGATTGAGTGTATTTGTAAAATTTGTTTAAATAAGTCAGCCAAGATTTGTATTTAGTGGAGGTATGTTGTCATTTAAAGATATTAATGTTGTAGTTTGTACACATCAGACAGAAGCATGTACACATCAGACAGAAGCATGTACACATGAGACAGAAGCATGTACACATCAGACTGGAAGAATTTGTAACCAAAAATTGTCTCTCTATTCCAGCACGAGTGAGGCCAAGTCTGACTTCATGAAGGTCATCAGACAGACCATCAGAGAAAGTGTAAGGAGGATGATCATCCCCAGCTCTGTCCACTCTCACTCACACAGGCCCTACTCCACCTCCCCCACACACCACGCTGACCCCACTGACCCCTCGGGGGTCGACATATCTTCATCCTATCCCTCCCCCACCTCCCACCCCCACCCTCTCTCCAGTCCCCAGCTTGCACTATTTAAGCGCCGGATGAAATCCTCGGACGCTGAACGCCATTCCATGGATCTAGACAATAAGATCAGTGAGCTTGACCTAGATTCTGCATTTAGAACCCGGAGTAAAACAATTGGAGATCTCAATGAAGCCAGTATGGACGAGTCAGGGGGGTTTGTCCCAGGGACTCTAGAACCAGCCGCCACAGACAAGAACAACAAAGAGAACAGCTCGTGTTCATCCAACTCCAACCTGAGCTGCTCCAGCCAGACGGGCAGCCAGACAGGGTCAGCCAAGCTGCAGTACGCCAGCGCTGACCCCCTCCACTACTCCTCCAGCTCCATCAACTCTGGGGACAGGGCCGGGGCCGCGTCCCCCGTCTGGAAGAGGGTGGAGCCCAAGCTGAAGCCCGGCCAGCAGCAGGAGGACAGCAACTCCACCAAAAGTGGTGGGGGGAGCAGCAACAACTCCGCGGAGAGCATCCCTCCCCCCAGACGGGACACCAAGACGGTGGTGTTTGCTCCCCTGCCCGGGGGGGTGCCGGCCCTTAAAGACACGGAATGTTGAGGCTGGCCTGGGGGATGGTGTTAAATATTTCTCACACGAGCTGGTCTCTCAGCTGACCAATCCAAAGCTTGGATTAAGATTAAGGATTAGGATCAAGGATGGGGTGCTTCCTTTAGCCATCATGGCATCAATCTGAGAACAAGGAAATCAATGTTGTGGTTAGCACAGACAGCACCAGACTGGTGTAGGTGACCCAACCATCTTGTGGAGATCTTGATTGCCTTACTGTTGGCATCACGCAGGGGAGATGATTGATTCTGTTTGACGTACAAACTTGTGATACTACCTCCCTTGGCTTACTACTAATTTAGCTATCGATCAAGAAAGATAAGCCAGTAAATTCTGGTCAGAATTTTAAAGACTGAAGTCTTGTATGTTCACCAGGGCAGTATTATATTATAAATAGATCCTAACAGTCCCTAATCCATCTGTCATGATTGTCAGTGTCAGGGTTATACCTCCACTGTCAGGATTATCACTTTCAAGATTATTTCATCAATGCCCAGGATAATCCCATCAATGTCAGGATTATTTCATCACTGTCAGGATTTTTGCTTGGCTGTCAGGACTTTCTAACCAATCAGCATGTTTGTCTCTGTAGATATCCACGGATTAAACCCTGTTGCCCCACCGTCAGGACAGCCCTGTTGCCCCACCATCAGGACAGCCCTGTTGCCCCACCATCAGGACAACCCTGTTGCCCCACCATCAGGACAACCCGGGACCCCACCCAAACTTTTTTTAAAAAAACTTTTTCAAAAGTCTGTTGTCCTGTACCAAGGGGTTAGCATTGATCTATTGCCAAAATGTGTTTCAACAACCACTCACTTCATTGTTGATCTGCTTCATGTATGCCACTACATGACACAGTTGTATTAGTACTTTGATCACAGATTGCATGCATGTTACTATAAGTTAGACTATGTTCTCTAGTTATTTGTCTCTTATTTTAAACAGCTTTCTTACACACTGGTTTTAAAAAATATTTTGGCTCTGGGATTTAAAACTTTTCTGGCCATAAATTTATCCAGATAGGTTTGTCAAAGATGATGGTAACACAGTGACAATAATTTGATTACATATTTCTACTTTTAGCTGCCTTACATGTCTGTGAAAATCTTTTTAAATCTTAGATGGGAATTATTGTAAAAATAATTTAATGTAAGCCTGAAAACAAATATTTATTTATTATTAAAATATTTTTTCATTTGAATGTATTTTTTCCCTGTATATTTCAGCTACGTAACTGATTTGCGGGTGAGGCAAAAAATTTATGTCCTTGTACCCCCAAGGTTCTATTGCTTTATTTTTTATTTATTTTTATCATTTTTATGGTTTAAAATATGGCTGGAAGGTAACTACTAGCAAAAAATCTTTCTTCCCCACCCCCTCCCTTCTTCTATTGGGTAGCCAGTAGCAAATCTTTCCTACCCTCAGCTTGGTGCTTCGTGGTATCTAGAATCTAGTAATGGACGGAATTTTTATTTTGAAATTTATTTTTCTGTTACTTAAAACAAAAACAAAAAATATTTTATGCACTAGCTACTCTGAGTAGGTACAGACATTAGAAAAAAAAATAAGCATTTGAAATAAAGAAAAAAATCAAACCTTTGAAATAATCAGCATATACATAAAATTATCAATAAAATATATTGATTAGGTTTTAAAACAAGCAAAAAGCTCTGCCCATTTATTGTTCTGTGTGTTGCCTAGATTTTTCTAGCAGAGAAACGATACAATTCAGTGTTGCAATATGTCATAGTTGTTGCAGTAAAAGTAAAACAGTTTGAGTTAGTTGCATTAGATTGCAGTGTTAAATATTTTGTTGTTTGAATTTGTTTCTGTGATGAAATGTTTTGTTTTGGGATTTAGAAATTCCATTTTAGCCTCAGTTGTGTTTTTCACAATATGTAGTTTGTCAAAAAGAAAACAAGAAAACCAATCAATGAGTCGTATTTTTATGTTTAAACAAATGGTTACATTCTGTTTATTAGATGGGAAAAAGTAAGCGCTGTGCCAAATTTTGGTCTGTTTTCACCCACCTTTTTGTCTGCTAAATTTTTTTGTTTGCTTATAAGACTAGGCTTATAGATAACTCATTCACTAAGTTAAAATTCACTTTTTAAAAAATGTCACATTAAAAGTGATAGAATTCTATGGTAGTTATGATATTTGTAATGATATTTGTTTCTTGTTTTCAATTTGCTCTCTTCTAATTCAACATTAACTTAATAATTCACGACGTTAAAAACTGACCATCTGGAGTTTTTATGGCAGGAATCTGTTCATGATAAAATACAAGGGATAATTTTTATGTCATTTGTTTATTGTCAGTTGTTTCATTATCATTTGTCAGGTGTTTTAAAAAAATTGCTTTTGTCTGATAAAGGTAGCTGATATGTTGGATGGAAAGTTTTGAAAATCTTCCTCATGGTGAATGTGGCTTAATTGGCCTGGATCTTTGACCTGTCATGTGTCACATTGACCTGTGTCACGACCTGGATTTTTGACCTGTCATGTGTCACATTGACATGTGTCACACAAGCTGAAGAGACTGGTAATGACTGACCAGTATTGCTGACAAAACTTGAAGGGATTTTGTGCAATACATTATCATTGTTTTAATTATTGGTTTTATTTTATTTGCCCCCATGTTGAAAGAAAATATTTTTAACTGCTTGATTTAACTTACACTGCTACAAGTATTGACCAATTTTATTTCTGTGTCTGACATGAGCCAATGTTGCAGCTGTATTTTTTTTCTTTCCTTGGACACTTTGATTGTTCTCTGGTGTGATCTTCAACTTTTTTCATGATTTTCCTACATGTGATTGTTTGTTTGTGGAATCAAACATGTGATTGCATGTTTGTGGAATCAAACATGTGATTGCTTGTTTGTGGAATCAAACATGTGATTGCCTGTTTGTGTATTCACATATCGGCACAAGATTTCTCTAGAGACCTGTACTTAACATCATGTGATGTGAGAGTGTTCATTTATATTTTTCTCCACACAATCATACGGTGGCGTACGCAGGGTTTGGTTATGGACTGGGGGTGTTTTCAAAAGACAATTTCCCACAGATATATTTATATACGACTGAATTAAAGTTTTATTTTCAAACTGTGATTTATTCATATCAGCTACATCACCACCGCGTCAACTAATTAAATCTTAGGGAAACTATTAATCCATGAAACAAACTGCGGCATTGCTGGCGATGTAAGGCAGATTGGTCCCCACCCCAAGGTTGGGAAATAACAAATATTGCTCCCCCACACCCCAATGCTGGGAAATATTGCCCCCCCCCCCCCCCCCACACCCCAATGCTGGGAGTGATTGGTCCCCCCACCCCAAAGCTGGGGGGTTACCTAAATTATTATAACCACATGTAGCCCACATTTGCTGATTGTGTTTTCCTACATTGTACTCTCACAGTGCAGGTGTGGTTTGGCTGACTGTGTGTGTGTGCTTGTCCCCATCAGTATGTGGCTGTCTATTCACCTTTAAATTATTTATTTGACCTCTTCGTGCTAAACTAAGGGCCCAACTTTTTGTAAAAAATTTTAAACGCCAAAACTTGTCCCACAAATTAAATTACAATACTTTCTCTATAGGAGAAAGTAAAAAATGCTTGTGGCGAGAACTAATCTGGATAAACGTGAAATAAGCTGCTCTTATTTTAAAAATCTGGGGAGTTTTATTCTCCATTCTGTGTCACACGTGTACAATTTATTTAAAAATCCATACTTAAAATAATTTTGACATAATTTTTTTCTAATATTCTATTTTGTCATGAAAGTTTTTAATGCATCTTTGTTGTTTTAGACTTTTATTTTTGACCACTTGTTGTAACCATTTTTTCAACCAAATCTGGAGCCAAAATTAAAATTTGGCTCGCCATCTTTCTGTGTATACCGTACACATTCATCTGCGTCATTAAATTTTTTCAGCCATGTCATGATTGTCAATAAAACTTGAAATCACGTGATACACAAACTTTTGTGGTTTTTTGGTAGCGTTGTTTATTTGTTGGGGTTGTTAAATTGTTTTGTACATTTTAGTGTTGTTTGTTTGTTAAAAAGTTTAAAGACAAACTACTAACCAGAATTTCTTTCAGACATTTTCTTGGGGGGGGGGGGGTATTTTCTATACAAATTAAATATTTTTCAATTTTGCCAGTGCCCCACCCTTTTCTATCTCCCTCCACTCCTAGAGATAACTGAAGCACGGTACAGGATCACATCAGCATTTATGACGTCCAGGTTGAGGCAGGGGTAAAAACTGGATGTTATATAGTATATATATATATATACAAACATAAAGTGGCTATGAAAACACCACTGTAGAGCAAGATCTGATATTAATGTCAACGCCACAAGACGGTGACATTAATTAATTTACATTTTGATATTCTTGAGGCGGAAACTTTCACGTAATAGAGGCGTGGCCATGTGACGTCACTCAGTCTGTCCATTAAAAGTTAAAACGAGGTTAAGCCTGTCATGTAGGAGAGGACAGCGGGCAACTTTTGAAAAGTTTTTGTGGTGACACCAAAACAAAAAAGTGACATGTGTTAGAAAAATGTTTTACTGACTCGCGAGGCATGTGTATGTGTCGTCTACCTAATACGTAAGGGAATCCAACTTTTCTATCATAATATAAAAGTGCCCAGTGGCGTCGCTAGGTCGGATGTCACCCGGTGCGGTACCTAATGGTGTCACCCCTCCCCAACAAAAAAGTATCTGTTTATAGATATAAAAAACTGTTTTCTCAATAATTGGCAGGTTTACGTCCAGGTGTCACCCCCTGATTTGCACTTAATGAGACTTTTGAACTCTAATTAATCAAACTGACAAAAATCATTTTTCTATTATACATTTTTCAATTTTTGGTCTTGGTGTCACCCCCTAAATGGTGTCACCCGGTACGGTCCGCACCCCCCCCCCCTCCCCCTCAGCCTCGCGACGCCTCTGAAAGTGCCTTGGTTATTTTTTCTACCGACAGATCGGTAACGTCCCATAACTAAATTTTTGAGACAACCCCCCCCCCCCTTCATTTAAAAAAAAATTCATTCCAGCAATGCTGGTTGTTTGTCTACTAGATCTATGCTACGTACAGACTTTATTAAACAAAAACTACATCGTTGAGTGGGGTGG